ACTTTCACATTTGATTTGTAAAGTAAGTCCGGGATCTTTCCTTAATTCATGCTATATTATTATTATAATCAAAAAAGCGCTAAACCACAAGGGTTATACAGCAATTAATGGGTGGCCTGGTGGCTGCTCCCGCTTCACACACGGAGGGCCCGGGTTCGATTCCCGGCGGGTGGAAACATTTCGACACGTTTCCTTACACCTGTTGTCCTGTTCACCTAGCAGCAAATAGGTATCTGGGTGTTAGTGGACTGGTGTGGGTGGCATCCTGGGTGTTAGTGGACTGGTGTGGGTGGCATCCTGGGTGTTAGTGGACTGGTGTGGGTCATATCCTGGGTGTTAGTGGACTGGTGTGGGTGGCATCCTGGGTGTTAGTGGACTGGTGTGGGTGGCATCCTGGGTGTTAGTGGACTGGTGTGGGTGGCATCCTGGGTGTTAGTGGACTGGTGTGGGTGGCATCCTGGGTGTTAGTGGACTGGTGTGGGTGGCATCCTGGGTGTTAGTGGACTGGTGTGGGTGGCATCCTGGGTGTTAGTGGACTGGTGTGGGTGGCATCCTGGGTGTTAGTGGACTGGTGTGGGTGGCATCCTGGGGGACAAGATTAAGGACCACAATGGAAATAAGTTAGACAGTCCTCGATGACGCACTGACTTTCTTGGGTTATCCTGGGTGCCTAACCCTCCGGGGTTAAAAATCCGAACGAAATCTTATCTTAACAAATCTGTCTCTATAATTGTTATGAAAGATTTTTTAAGTTGTACCATGAATTAAGGAAATATCCTGGACTTCACTTTACGAAGTAAATGTGAAAGTAATTATGTACAAGGTAGATTATAGTGGTAAAATGACATCAGAAAATAGGAGACTGACGTGCCCCTTAAGGCTGGATGTCCCCTTTACACCACCAGTTAAGAATATTTGTATCTAATGCAATTATTAAACTGTGTGTGTATATACAGTGAGATACAAGTCTGTATATACAGTGATATACACAGAGTTGATGGTATATATACCGTTAAGGTGTGAGGATGGGTTGGTGTAGGTAGTTAGTGTTGGTATAAGAGTGGATCAGAGGGTCAGTACTCTTGCACTTACACTAACACAAGAGTGACTGTTGGTGCTGCCACCCACACCTCCCATCACTGCCCACTCCCTGACTACCCTCGCACACTCCCTCCCCCACCCTGCCCACTCCCTGACTACCCTCACACACTCCCTCCCCCACCCTGCCCACTCCCTGACTACCCTCACACACTCCCTCCCCCACCCTGCCCACTCCCTGTCGTGCCCTGCCCACCCATCCTTACTGCCCACACCCCTGCAGTTGCCATCCTACCTTATGTTGCCAACTTGTCCCTTTGATGCAATTATCAGATGAAGCCTCCACGGCACCTTGGGCTCAACAACCCACACGGGTTCAGCGTTTCAGTATGAAATGTGGAATAAGAGACTTGTGCAACATTTCGGAATCATTATTGGGGACATATCTCCATCCAGTGTAGTTTCTTCAGTCTAAGAGAGATTAAATTATCATCATCAACGGGGAAGCACTAAACCCGGAGGATTATACAGCGCCTGGGGGGGTATATGTGGAAGGCATTCTGGCTTAATTCAGGGAACTGGAGCACAGATCCAATTCCCTAAATCAAGAGCCCCTCACCAACTTCAAGGAACCTTCCCTGAGGGGTAAGAGAGATTAAAAAGGTGAAAGGTGAGATGGAAAATTAGGTAATCAAGTCTCTTATCCTAACATTCCCAAGTGTTGCAAAAATTTCTCATTGTTTAACTTAGGGGTTTTCTAAAGCATTATTATACTAAAGATGCGCTAAACCCACCAGGGTCATACATCATATCATTAGCTATTATTTCTCTTCCAGTTCACTAGTCAGCTTCACTGTCTTCGGTTAAATTCTAGTTTTTCTTTGTGCAAAGCTATTTCCAGCTTAAATACCAAAGGCTCTTGATCCATGGAATAGGAGCAGCCCATCCCTCGGATCAGACTTGACCACCTCCCATACCCCTGTTTCTGTACAACCACAACTGCTTAATTTAAAGACAGGTGAATTTTTATCAGTGCCATAGGGAAACACTAAACCCTCAGGGGATTATAATAATAAAAACTAAGCGCTAAACCCACTAGGGTATAGACTCTGGGATTATACAGCACTTGATTACGGGGGAGCACTAAGCCCATAGAAATTACCCAAGTCCTGTGAGTGGGGGATGGAAGGAAGCCAAGAAATTGGAGCACAGATCCAATTCCCTGGATCAAGATTTATTATAATCAAAACCAAGCACTAAACCCACATGGGTCAAGGCCTAGGGATTATACAGCACTTGAAGAATGGAAGGTAATCAGGCTCGGTTCAGGGAACCAGAGCACAGATTCAATTCCCTAGATCAGGGGCCCCTCACCAGTGTCAAGGAACCTTCCTAGGGGTGTAAGAGCCTGCAATATCCTGCTCTCACTGACAAGCGCTAAACCTGTATGTCTAAGGGTAAGGAACAGTGGGGTTTATATTAGTTCAGTTGCAACAAGTGTTGTCAGTTGATGCAATAAATTAGTTTGTGAATAAGCCGAATAGTAACCAAGTGAACTTGGATAGTCAGTGAGCTCGGCAGAATGTTGCTGTTCAACTCTGCAAGCTCTATGATGATACAAGTCACTTTGGATATAGCAAAGAAAACTCATCCTAGCAGCATTTATAGTGAGGTACTGGACGTTTCTCCATGTGGCATTCATGTGCCTCATTCACAATAGTACAACAACTTTCCCCACACCTGACACTGATGGACCAAAATGCAGGTCACCATGATACTAGAGTGCACAGACTTATCCTGGGAGATCTGACAATGTTAGTTAAGTTAAAGCAAGATATTACAAGGATTCCAATGGAAACAAGTCACTGACTTATGCGTTATCCTGGAGGGTAATTTACACACGTTACTATGCATGAAAATTTGTGCAACTGCTTATATGTACCTGTACCTAAATACACAGACTAAAAGATCCCCCCCAACTACTTGCGTCTAAATGCTGCTTCAGACAACTTACACCCCAACTCTCGCTGAATTGTAACAGGTGGGAACATTGCCTTATTTGAAGTTACACTCAATGGTATGTATATGGTAGGTAGAAGTGTCTTCCAAATTGCCAGCCATGCATCACCATCCCTAATGTAGTGATGTCAACATAAGATTAATGGTGTCATGGAGGGGAGGTTAGTAATGGTGATCATGGTCATACAGCACCTGGGAAATGGGAGGTAATCAGGTTCAGGGGAAGTGGAGAGGACCTCGAATTCCTTGAATCACGAGCATTAGAGGAGGAGTTGGAAGTCAAGTCTGAGTGCTATTATAAGGAACATTTAAGATATTTACCTGTGAGTACAACATGAATCTCTATCAAAAAAATCAAGAAATATTAAACCCACATTGCCTGATAGGACAGAACTTAACCAGGTTTGATCCAAGGCAACAAATTTCATGAATCAAGGGTCCTTCAACATTAGCAAATTTTTCCTGTCACCTGCTATTAGCACTTTTATTGTTTAGGGAAAATGCTAAACTGGGTTTGTACACTGTCATATTTCATAAAATGGAGATAGGTCTAATTACTTGAATCAAGAGCCCTTTGCCAGTATCAAGGAATGTTTCTTGAGGGGTCAGAGCATCTAAGAAATCAGGTTTGATTCAAGATAACTCCAAATCTCTGGATCAAGAGCTCTTCACCAGCAACAGCATCCCAGTTGAAAAACACATCAGATTCTTCACTATGTAAACGTATAATATTCCTTTTAACCCTAACAAATTTGTCCCTACGTTTCAAACATTATTTAATGCCCCTATTGACCCCTCTTAATTTGCTTAAATTAAGTAAATCACGTTGAGCGTTAAACCCAAGAAATTTTTTTATTGGTTTTTATTTTTTCTTCTAAAAACCACTCATCTCTCCACATCTTGTGTACACTCACTCTCACCCTGTTCAACCTCTTCTATAAAAGTTCACCTTCCAAGACTTAACATGTGTTTATTTCTGCCTTGTAAACAAATCTCATTTTAATATGCACATTAACTTTTTCAAAACTGGAAATCCAGAATTTGTCAGACATTTTTTTTTAACAGTCGTCTCCCTCCAAGCCATAGAAGAAAACATTCAATCACCATCTTTCCAGAAATATGCTTACATAATCAATTACCCATCTGACTAATATTCCCACCCCTGTCTGTGCAGGCACTGACCTTTCCACTACAAGACTCAAGTCTGGCTAACCAGTTTCCCTGAATCCCTACATACACTCCAGCAGTTTGTACATTAACCACTTATGTCCATTCACTTCTACATAACACTTCCAAAAGCCTGCTAGATGCTCAAGCCCATAAACCTCATAGCTTCATATAACCCCTGCCTCCAAAAATTTCTGGGACAATCTCTTCCCTTCCAACTTCCATCCCAAATTCATACACTCTCTTAGTCAAGCTATCCCTGTCCATCTTCTCTACACACTCAAACCACCTCAACCCTTCACCTGGTTACCTCACACTGCCCCTATCTTCTAAGCCCCAAGTGCTATACATTATATTCACAGCTCATGTTGCTCTCAAACTATGTCATCTTCACTACCTCTAGCTTGTTCACTGCAGCTATGTACTATATTATATAAATACAGTGGGCCCCCGGTTAACGATATTTTTTCATTCCAGTAGTATGTTCAGGTGCCAGTACTGACCGAATTTGTTCCCATAAGGAATATTGTGAAGTAGATTAGTCCATTTCAGACCCCCAAACATACACATACAAATGCACTTACATAAATACACTTACATAATTGGTCGCATTGGGAGGTGATCGTTATGCGGGGGTCCACTGTACTGTTATAATACTATACTGTTAAAATACTATTATAAAATACTGTTCATTTTCACCTGTAAAGAAAGGTCCAATGCATTAATATCTGATGATCAACTAACACCTGCAAAGCTAAATGTATTAAAACATCAAAAATGTCTCAAAATTTCTAATTTAAAAAACCATGTCTTAACAACTAATATAAGGTAAAACCCTGTCTAATACAAGGAACTGAACAAGGTATAAATTGAATTGATCACAGTCTCATGTGGAGGGTTTCACGAAATACAATGTATGAAAAATTAAGGCCTAGACAAACATTTTAGCTGTGAAACTCATGCTAAACATATATTCACAAAAATGCGTCAAAACCACATGGGTCATACCACAGAGGGAGAAATTGACATTACACAGTATCTTTCCATTTAAATACCTAGATATTGTACCATTTAAGATCAGTAATTTTGGAGTAATTAATACTCCAAAATTACTGATCTTAAATGGTACACAGAAACCATATTAGCCATTTTATACAACTGCACTGAAATGGTTGAAACAACGGAATGCGTGTCGAGAATTAAAACAGACCGACACACAGCAATGAGCACTGAGACGTTTTCTCTAAAATTAAGAATGGATCCACATTATGAACCCTGGAACATTAAGTTTGTTCCAAATTTAAGTTTTGTCCTTAAATTAGAAAAAAAAAAAAAAAAAAAAATTTAAGATATATATTTTATCAACTCTCCAAGTAAAACTCAAAGCAGGTTTAAAAAATTATCAAAATAAAAACCCGATTCAAACTGCCCGAGGACAAAACCATTTTCACACACATTTATGGGGGGTTAAAAACAACAGAAAGGACAATCAAGAACGTCAACATGTGCTGAATTTAATACTCAATTACACACAAAAAGAAAGTGACTAAAAAAAATACTATCACAAATGTTACTAGCAATAATCAACTGAGGTTCACAAGGCAGATACAAAACCTTAACTTACACATTCATAGCAACATGTTCTTGGCTACTCTTTTTAATATTATCACATTTTTGTTTTCTGTAAAAACTATTATGTACTGTGTATTACACTTGTGTGATTTCAATATACTTATATACATCAATCTGATATTTAAAGTAGGCACTGATAAACATGACATGTATTCACAATACATACAATGGACATGCCAGGAGCATCAATTCATTGACGAGTTCAGAGTAACAGGTGCCGAAGCATGAGGTGCCAAATACGTAACCGGCTTTCACTATCAGTGGAGAAACGTAAGTGGTATAAATACCGTCACGATGGAAAAATAGACAAAAGCAGTATAATGCATTTGTGTCTATTGTTCGCTATCAACACATCTTCACTGTTGCGTAACTAAGAAAATGCAACTTGCAATTACCATACGCCAAGACCATTGCTTCTTTATGTCTATACATTTCCTGTATACCTGAAAACTCATGCCTCTGCACCTGTAACACCAACTTTGAAAAAATACTATCAATAAATAAAAAATATCCATTTAACAAAAATATATAAAATTTGAGAGCAGTTTAAGGCTAATCCAGCAGGTGTTATAACACAAAAAAGCCCAGAGGAAGAAAAAATAAAAAAAATACTGCATATATTAAATACAGAAAAAAAATGATTGGTGCTTATATAACCAATGAAGAAAAACAACTGACAAGCAATTGTCAGATTTGGTATGTTGGCAGAGTTCAAAAAATAGTCTTTGCTTGATAATAAAGCCTGGCTCAGCCTTCAATAATGCATAGCTTTTCTTGTCCACCTGCTGAAACTTCACTCCTGTAATACGTTCCACTTTGTATGAATGTTCAACTCATTCACCTAGACCAGCTCAACCATAAATTATGGAAAAAAAAAAAACTTACATATATTTGGTTTAATATTCTAGTAGTCCCACCAACATCCAAACTGTACCTTTTAAAATATTTCCCAAACAAAACAGATCTCAGTTGAAACTCAAATCATTTTAGATACAGTAACGACATTAGAAGTATACTACATTGCAAAAATACCCGATCCTTTAGTAAAAGTATTTATTAATGCCCATTCTTTTGCACTGACCTGCAGTTATTTATCAGACAAAACTGAAGTCGTAATAATAAATTGAGCATGGTAAACAATGTTCCATAAATAACAATATATGTATTTCTAGTCGAAATAGTTTTATGATTTAAGAACAAAACGCATTTTTCTAAAAACTAAAGAAATTACAAATACAGTGGACCCCCGTTTAACGATCACCTCCAAATGCCACCAATTATGTAAGTGTATTTATGTAAGTGCGTTTGTACGTGTATGTTTGGGGGTCTGAAATGGACTAATCTACTTCACAATATTCCTTATGGGAACAAATTCAGTCAGTACTGGTACCAGAACATACTTCTGGAATGAAAAAAGATCGTTAATCGGGGGTCCACTGTATATCCAGGATGATGCTATCAAATGACTAGGTCTGATATTCGTAAGCAATGTTAGTGAGAAGGTCCCCAGTATGAGATGGTCTAAGTCATTGTATACTAACCAAACTAAAGTGTTCTTGGGTTCTGGAATCTCATTTATAATGAGCCAAGTCTATGTACAAAAACTCAAATCCTAACAATGACCCACACTTGTATGGCATACCATTGTAAGGTGGGCAGTCAGAAACAAGGCAAAACATTCTCCAAGTGGAAAGAATGACGAGATCAATTAATGGATAACATCCTAATGCTCTGCAAATGTCTTTATGTGACTAACTCTCAGGAATTAATTTGTGGTCATTGCTGAAAATGCTGGGATCCTATTTCTCCAGTGTGCCCAACATCTGTCATTAAATGGTGGGACCAATACCAGCTCTGTAAGCAAACCTGCTTTTGGGAACCTGAAAAACGGGGATATCACAGTTCATGTTTTATGCGTACTACAAACGGTCATTTCTCTCAAAAAAATAATACAAGGCTAAAATAAAGCACTGATATAGAAAGATGTCCAAATATTTATTTAATCTGTTATAGGCTAATAATTTTTCATGGGGTAGCAAGTTGCTGAACTACCTGCAAGGGTTCACACTGCCCTAGTTAGCAGAAGCCGAGCAACTACAAATACATAATAAATCAGGCTGTACCGTTGAGCTGAGGGATATGAGATGGTAAAGAACTCAAAAAAAAAAAATTGTCAACAGGCACAGGTAAGAACACATCCCCAGGAATGATATAGAAATCACAAATCATAATTAAGATAAACTATCATGACTTCAGTAAATGCTCTGCCAACAAGGATTCATGAGCAGGGAGTATGACAGTTCCATTTTCCTTTGTTGTCTCTTGTCACACTATCTTGACAACACATGATGTTGGACACAATGCTCCAAAACAAAACATAGGATATAACAATGTGAAGCCCAATAATTGGTGGGTTGAGCATCAGCTTGCAAGAATGTCAGTTCATCCTAAGAGAGGTGGAAGCTGTGCTGGCCCTCTCTAGCCGCTATTTCCAATTTGGCACGCATAATATCAATACTGGAGTAGTCTGGTAGTTTCAGGTAATTAACGCAGGTCATCACAGAAGGTAAGAAGTCGTCAGGGTTCTCTCCTGCCTCGAATGTTTTTCTTACAATAGTGAGTGCTGGAGTTAGACTTCTGAAACCTGTAAAGGAATATAAGCATAATGAAAAAATAATGGCCATTACTGAAAAAATACATTAACAAAAATATAGCAATTATAAAATTTCACTCCAAATTAGTTAAAAATTCAAGTTCAATACTAGTGTACAACTAATTTTTTTAACACGTTGGCCGTCCCCCACCAAGGCAGGGTGACCAGAAAAAGAAATTTTCACCATCATTCACACTATCACTGTCTTGCCAGAGGCACTAAGATACAACAGTTTATGTCACTAAACAGCATCACAAACCCCACCTTTAGACACGGGTTTATAGTATTTATCGTTTAGAGTGACCTCTAAACAATCGTATACATATAGCAATTAAAAAAATTCACTGCAAATTAGTTACTAATATTACTCAATAGCATTTAAGCAAGTTCAACACTAAATTAAAATATAGCCTGTAATAAGTTAGATATTTTTCCAAGAAAAAGTGGAAAAGAATCCTTCCTCTGTAAGCCATGAATGTTGTAAGAGGATACTAAAACGTCGAGAGCAAGGGGCTTGTGACCCCTTCTCCGGAATAAATTACTAAATGTAAAAAGAAAAAAACTTTCATTTCTTCTTTTTTTTTTTTTTTTGGGGGGGGGGGGGGGGGTTCACCCTGCCTTGGAAGATGGCCGGTAAAAAAAAATAAATAATAATAGTAGTTAGAAATGAATTGATGTACAGTGGAACCTCAAAAATCGAACTGCTCCCAACACGACCAATAATGTAAGTGTATTTTTGTAAGTGCTTTTATAAGTGTATTTTTGAGGGTCTGAAATGGACTAATCTAATTTACATTATTCCTGATGGGAATAAATTCATTCGGTAAAGGCACTCGAACAGCCTTCTGGACTGGAGAAAGTTCGATATTTGAGGTTCCACTGTATAATTATATTGGCAAGTAACAAAGTAAAATAATCTTAACACTTTCTGGATAAATTTACCTAAGAATTGGCAAAATTCTAAGCACAACATATTCAAAATAACTTGGATCACATTTCTTCTCCATACTGATGTTTGGTCTGAATAAGTGAACTTTTTGACTGTCTGCAGGATTTTAGGCACCGAGGTGCTGCCACACGATTGGCTGATTAGACATTTGCCTTAAGCTGGTGGCAAACAGGTTTAACTTATGAAGTGGCCACAGTGAAAAAACCATAAAATTTAATGTCTCCTACAGGCTGTCACAAATTAGTTAAAAATAATAGTACACACCTAGTGCATGCAGCAGCATAAGCACAGATTAGTTAAATGTAAAAAAAATATTTAAAAGTTTATTACAAGTTGTACAGTGGTCCCTCATTTTTCGTAATTAATCCGTTCCTGGAGCCGTTACTATAAACGAAATTTACGATTTGCGAATCAATTTTCCCCATAAGAAATAATGTAAATACAATTAATCTGTTCCTTACACCCAGAAGTATTAAAACAAAAAATTTTTTTACATGAAATATACATGTAGTACATAAACAATACAATGGGAAATGATGAATGAAACATTAACAGCATAACACTTACCTTTATTGGAGATTCTTCTTAGTGTATGGGAGACTGGAGGAGGAGAGAGAGTGGATTGTTTATAGTTTGGAAGGGAAATCCCCTTCCAGCAACACCTCAGGTACCAATTGCTTTTCTGGGGTTGCTTCTCTTCTGTTTCTTAATGCCACTAGGACCACCTTGAGAGTCACTAGAGTCCTGTCTCGCAAAGTAACTGTGGAGAGGGCTCTGTTTCTGGCGTCTCTTTAACACTTCCCTAAAATGGCCCAAGACTTTGTCACTGTACATATTTCTCACCTTCTTTACCACAGGCTTGGCACTAGGAGCTTTCTTTGGAGCCATGGTAGCTTATTTAGTACTTGCAAGCACTAAAATGAGTGGAATATTATGAAATATTTCGTAGGAGCACTTGAGGGGACCTTCATTCACTGGTAAACAATGCCAGACTGGCTGGGTAGGGAGGCCGCCTTGGCTCACACCGTGCGTGCGTGTCCCGGACGAACTACTATTCGCGAGTCAACCTATGAAAAGCGAGTCCATGTTTATAAGAAAATACCCCTATGATTGGCGAAATTTACGATCGCCGAGAACTACAAAAAGTGAGGGACCACTGTATAATCCTTCTTGGATTGGTCAGTACAGATCTATAGTTTATGTTGCCCATAAAGGCAAACTATGTGCTTTTTTTTTTTTTTTTTTTTTTTTTTTTAACAAGTCAGCCATCTCCCACTGAGGCAGGGTGACCCAAAAAGAAAGAAAATCCCCAAAAAGAAAATACTTTCATCATTCAACGCTTTCACCTCACTCACACGTAATCACTGTTTTTGCAGGTGCCCAGAATACAACAGTTTAGAATCATATACGTATAAAAAATACACAATATATCCCTCCAAACTGCCAATATCCCAAACCCCTCCTTTAGAGTGCAGGCATTGTACTTCCCATTTCCAGGACTAAAGTCTGGTTATATAAAATAACCGGTTTCCCTGAATCCCTTCACTAAATATTACCCTGCTCACACTCCAACAGCTCATCAGGTCCCAAATACCATTCGTCTCCATTCACTCCTAACATGCTCACGCACGCTTGCTGGAAGTCCAAACCCCTCGCCCACAACACCTCCTTTACCCCCTCCCTCAAACCTATTAGAGGACGACCCCTACCCCGCCTTCCTTCCCCTACAGATTTATGCGCTCTCCATGTCATTCTACTTGGATCCATTCTCTCTAAATGACCAAACACCTCAACAAACCCTCTTCAGCCCTCTGACTAATACTTTTATTAACTCCACACCTTCTCCTAATTTCCACACTCCGAATTTTCTGCATAATATTTACACCACACATTGCTCTTAGACAGGACATCTCCACTGCCTCCTTGCTGCATCATTTACCACCCAAGCTTCACACTCATGTAAGAGTGTTGGTACTACTATACTTTCATACATTCCCTTCTTTGTCTCCATAGATAACATTTTTTGCCTCTACATATACCTCAACGCACCACTCACCTTTTTTTCTTCATCAATTCTATGATTAACCTCATCCTTCATAAACCCATCCGCTGACACGTCAACTCCCAAATATCTGAAAACATTCACTTCTTCCATACTCCTCCCCAATTTGATATCCAATTTTTCTTCATCTAAATCATTTGATACTCTCATCACCTTACTCTTTTCTATGTTCACTTTCAACTTTCTACCTTTACACACACTCCCAAATTCGTCCACTAACCATTGCAAATTTTCTTTAGAATCTCCCATAAGCACAGTATCATCAGCAAAAAGTAACTGTCACTTCCCATTTTGTATTTAATTCCCCATAATTTAATCCCACCCCTCTCCCGAACACCCTAGCATTTACTTCTCTTACAACCCCATCTATAAATATATTAAACAACCATGGTGACATTACACATCCCTGTCTAAGACCTACTTTTACCGGGAAGTAGTCTCCCTGTCTTCTACACACCCTAACCTGAGCCTCACTATCCTCATAAAAACTCTTTACAGCATTTAGTAACTTACGACCAATTCCATATATTTGCAACATCTGCCACATTGCTACCCAATCCACTATCATATGCCTTTTCTAAATCCATAAATGCAATAAAAACTTCCCTACCTTTATCTAAGTACTGCTCACATATATGCTCCAATGTAAACACTTGATCTGCACATCCCTTACCCACTCTAAAACCTCCTTGCTCATCTGCAATTCTACATTCTGTCTTACCTCTAATTCTTTCAATAATAACCCTACCGTACACTTTTCCTGTTATACTCAGTGAACTTATTCCTCTATAATTTTTACAATCTCTTTTGTCCCCCTTCCCTTTATATAAAGGGATTATACACACTCTCCGCCAATCCCTAGGTACCTTCCCCTCTTTCATACATTTATTAAACAAAAATACCAACCACTCCAACACTGTCCCCCCCCCCCCTGCTTTTAACATTTCTGTCATGATCCCGTCAGTTCCAGCTGTTTACCCCCTTTCATTCTACGTAATGCCTCACGCACCTCCCCCACACTCACATCCTGCTCTTCTTCACTCCTAAAAGATGGTATAACTCCCTGGCCAGTGCATGAAATTACCGCCTCCCTTTCTTCGTCGTTATTTAAAAGTTCCTCAAAATATTCTCGCCATCTATCCAATACCTCCGTCTCCCCATCTGCTAACTCCCCTAATCTGTTTTTAACTGACAAATCCATACTTTCCCTAGGATTTCTTAGCTTGTTTAACTCACTCCAAAATTTTTTCTTATTTTCATTAAAATTTCTTGACAGTACCTCTCCCACTCTATCATCTGCTCTCCTTTTGCACTCTCTCACCACTCTCTTACTCTCCATATACTCTATTCTTCTTATAACACTTCTGCTTTGTAAATACCTCTCATAAGCTACCTTTTTCTCTTTTATCACACCCTTTACTTCATCATTCCACCAATCACTCCTCTTTCCTCCTGCCCCCACCCTCCTATAACCACACACTTCTGCCCCACATTCTAATACTGCATTTTTAAAACCATTCCAACCCTCTCAACCCCCCCCCACTACTCACACCTGCACCAGCCCACTTTTCTGCCAATAGTTGCTTATAGTATGTGCTTATCTTCTTCATATTCTGCAAGACCAGACTATAATTCGTGTATAAAAATAACCGTTTAAAATATACATTGACAGTGCAGAGGCTACATTACAATCCTTCGTACAATATGCTTTATGTCACCTGTAATATTTTAGTCCATTGGATTTTTCTGGAATTGTAGTCAAGAGGTATATAAGAGCTATAACTAATAGAAAATTGAAGCAATTAAAAACTTGAAAGCAAACCCAACAATATAGACCTAGTCTTGTAACTGAAAATATTACTTCTCAGAGGCAGCAGCAATAATAATTAGGTTTAACAGTGAATAATGTAAGGATTGCAAAGGCTGAAAAAAAAAAATAGCAATATTTGACTGGCAGGAGAAAAATCAAATCATAAAAGTATATAAATAATGAAAGCTCTTTAGTAGTAACAGGGAGGGGAAAATAATGGATGTTATTTTTTATTTTCAACACATCTGTCATCTCTCACCAAGAAGAAAATACTTTCAGCATCATTCAATACTTTCACTTCACGCATACATAATCACTGTCTTTGCAGAGGTGCTCAGATACGACAGTTTAGAAGTCCCTCCAAACTGCCAATATCCCAGACCCCTCCTTTAAAGTGCAGGTGTTGTACTTCCCATTTCCAGGACTCAAGTCTGGCTAACCGGTTTCTCTGAATACCTTCACAAAATATTACCATTATTAACAAGAATACTGCCAATAAAATAGCTAAAATAGGAACACTATTATCAACAGAAAAAATAGTGCCAATAAAATAGCCAAGTTTCCTCATACAATAAAACAAGGAAATGTGCTAAAAGACGGTCTACAGCCACAAATTTTTTTTACAGCCTTTTTGAAATTTTCAGAAGCATTTTTTTTTTTTTCAACAAGTCGGCCGTCTCCCACCGAGGCAGGGTGACCCAAAAAAGAAAGAAAATCCCCAAAAAGAAAATACTTTCATCATCATTCAACACTTTCACCTCACTCACACATAATCACTGTTTTTGCAGAGGTGCTCAGAACACAACAGTTTAGAAGCATATACGTATAAAGATACACAAGCATACCATCACTAATTATACCTATATTTTCAACTGCCATTCTACAATATATGCTATTCAGTTTCTAAACCATTCAAAGAAATGTGGTCTATATGCATGTTCTCGGCTTACCTCCAACAGGAAGCCGGGGTGAACCTGTGACAAACTGCAAGAAAGATCTCTGTTGAGCAGGTGTGTATTCAGACAAAATTTGCAAAAGGAACTTGACTGCTCGAGAATTGTGCGTATAACCGTGATCAGGCCGGCAACACTCTGCCAGCTGCTTCATGTCCCACTGTGATGCATCGGAGCAGCCACAGAATAACTGCTCCAGCTCTTCGGGGTAGAACACATGGAGTTGTGTCAGTGGAAACACACATTCAAATCCTTCACGGAGGGCTTCCATTTGTCTTCTCACTCCTTCCCGCACTAGCCATTCTATCACCAGCTATAAAAGTTATAAGGATTTATTATGCCAATTTGAGAATACTTTCAGGCTTCTTAAGCTTTATCGTGAAGTTGTGTCTACGAGATAAAATATAAACCAAGGAAGAAAATAGGAATGCTGTATATGCAGTGATGTTCTTTACATTTTGCCAATTGACTAAAAACCACATAACGCAAACAAGGTATGTACTTAAGATTTTTTTTTTTTTACTTTCAATCAAAACATTTGAGGCACTAATTACTAAGGACATAACATTAATGATGAAAGTAATAACACTACTGTGATTGCTACCTAAATCTGAACTGAAAATTTCACAAATTATCATAGTTCAACACCTACATTAGAAAAAAATTATACGGCTTCAAAACTTACTTGTAGGTACTGATCAAGATTATTTATGGTGACAGGCATATCTGCGCCCCCTTTACGGAATTCTATGTTAGGGTAACCAGGCAGTGTAAAAGTCAGCGCTAGGTCCTCCACACTGCAACCATCCACCATTAAAGCATCTAAACGCCTCTGAAAATATTAGAATACTAAATACTTTTACATGAAGGCACAGAACTATTCTTTTCACAGTGCCAATGTCTTTAACATGTATAAAATGGTGACCCAGTTTGTAGCATTCCTGTAACTTTTTTGAAGTTAGAAATACCAAGAAACCTGGATTTAACAAACTAATAGGGGGAAGGGAGGGCTGAATGGGTGTCCATTAATGCCAACTGTGTCAAATCCACATTGAAAGATTGGTTTTCCATGTTCTTAAGAATAAGTGAAACTTGAACTCAATGGGCTTCTCAACGAAATCACAATTCGCTACCTATGGACCATAAAATATGAAGAATTGACCAAACTTATCCATTCAATCCAAAATCAAATTACACTGTCCAACCAAAATTTTATATCGAAAATCTGTTAAATCTGAACACGTTAAATCAATGTTCTATTAATATTAACAACAGAGTAAAGATATTGTTATATGAATAAACAGAAAAGTGAATGAGGGGCATGAAGCGAGGTCCATTATGGACCACGGCTCAAGCCCCTCGTCCATCCTTCTGTTTATTCATTTAGAGTTGTTTATCAACTTAATTTGAGTCCATATTGTTACATGTTCATGCACAGACATCAAAGGACCATGGTTTTAGATTACATCTGTAAACAAAGGAATTTAATGAATATCAATCAGGAACATAATTTATGTTTAGCACAAAAATACAGTGGAACCTCAAAAATCGAACTGCTCCCAACACAACCAATTATGTAAAGTGAAAGGACACAAGTGCAACTAATGTGACATTTATTGTGGCAACGTTTCGCTCTCCAGGAGCTTTATCAAGCTAATGGCTTGATAAAGCTCCTGGAGAGCGAAACGTTGCCACAATAAATGTCACATTAGTTGCACTTGTGTCCTTTTACTTTACATATTGTCGGTAATTCTACCAACTTTATTACAACCAATTACGTAAGTGTATTTTTGCAAGTGCTTTTATAAGTGTATTTTTGAGGGTCTTAAATAGTCTAATCTAATTTACATTATTCCTGATGGGAATAAATTCGTTCGGTGGTGGCACTCTAACAGCCTTCTGGACCGAAGAAAGTTCGATATTTGAGGTTCCACTGTAGTTACAAAAAAAATTAAAAAATGGAAAAAACAACAAACCTGGAGTTCTGCCCCTGAGATTCCTTCCTGCTCTGCCTGTAGCACGACTCGTCTCTTGTGTAACACAGTATAATGAAGGCGGTCTAGGGTGTGTCCCAGAGTGGGGTCTAGTGAGGTTACATCCCCTAAACCTAGGGACCATTCTTCACTCAACAGCCATTTGTACACACACTCATGAAGACCCAAATCCAACTGTGTAGGGATATAAAACACACAAGACTGAAATATGGCACAATGGTGAATTTGCAAAATTTTTTAAGATGCTAAACTTCAAAATACTGTATTAGCTAAATAAACCAAAATCAAGAATTAGAAAGTGACACGGTGCTAGGACAGAGGGCAGTGGACTGCAGCTAAGATTTGCAAGTCCACTCATTTCATGCATTATCTTGTTGCAATTATAATTTTAGTAAATTTTTAGTTTTATCATCAAATTACCCTGTGCTTAATAACCCCTGGAACTTTTTTTTTTTTTTTTCAACAAGTAGGTCGTCTCCCACCGAGGCAGGGTGACCCAAAAAAGAAAGAAAATCCCCAAAAAGAAAATACTTTCATCATCATTCAACACTTTCACCACACTCACACATTATCACTTTTTGCAGAGGTGCTCAGAATACAACAGTTTAGAAGCATATACATATAAAGATACACAACATATCCCTCCAAACTGCCAATATCCCAAACCCCTCCTTTAAAGTGCAGGCATTGTACTTCCCATTTCCAGGACTCAAGTCCGACTACATGAAAATATATGAACTTATCCTATGAAAAATCATATGGAAACATTACAGTGATGTCTCCCATACTCAAAAATATTCTAACTGGATGAAGCAAAGTTCACGTTTCGGGCAGTGTTTTCTGCCTTACTCTAAACACCAGCCACATGAAGTACAACCAATGCATTTTAGAAACCCAAAACTTTCTCACACAAACATTTTTTTATTCATATTCAGTATTAATGGAATTTAATACAATCAGCTCTCACAAAGGTCCTCTACAGTGTGATTTTTTAGTGAATGCGACTAAATAACTGCATCCAAAATTGAACAACATTCTGTGAAGACCTTTTCACGTGATATTCAATATTGAACATACTGTTTTTCAAGTGCATTTACCAAAAAAAAAAAAAAAAAAAAAAAAAAAAAAAAAATTGAGCAAGCTGACTTTTTGTAAAAATAACCTTAGTGAGCACAACCAGCAAATTGCTCAATTTTACACTAAATCAGCCAGAATTATCTGAAAATGGATTAAATCGATTTGCCAGGCCTGAAGCACTTTTATTTATTCTAAGGAGATACAAGCATTGTCCTAATGACAGGTTCACTATACCGAGGCTTTACCAACATTACAACCAGTTCCTCTGGAACTGGGATAAAATTTGCTAACATTTGAGGATGAAGTCCAATAATCCAACCAAGGAGGTTTTAGAGTGGGTAGGGGATGTGTAGATCAAGTGTTTACATTGAAGCATATATGTGAACAGTATTTAGAGAAAGGTAGGGAAGTTTTTATTGCATTTATGGATTTAGAAAAGGCATATGATAGAGTGGATAGGGGAGCAATGTGGCAGATGTTGCAAGTATATGGAATAGGTGGTAAGTTATTAAATGCTGTAAAGAGCTTTTATGAGGATAGTGAGGCTCAGGTTAGGGTGTGTAGAAGAGAGGGAGAATACTTCCCGGTAAAAGTAGGTCTTAGACAGGGATGTGTAATGTCACCATGGTTGTTTAATATATTTATAGATGGGGTTGTAAGAGAAGTAAATGCTAGGGTGTTTGGGAGAGGGGTGGGATTAAATTATGGGGAATTAAATACGAAATGGGAATTGACAGTTATTTTTTGCTGATGATACTGTGCTTATGGGAGATTCTAAAGAAAAATGGCGAAGGTTAGTGGACGAGTTTTGGGAGTGTGTGTAAAGGTAGAAAGTTGAAAGTGAACATAGAAAAGAGTAATGTGATGAGGGTATCAAATGATTTAGATAAAGAAAAATTTGTAATCAAATTGAAGAGGAGTATGGAAGAAGTGAATGTTTTCAGATATTTGAGAGTTGACGTGTCAGTGGATGGATTTGGGAAGGATGAGGTTAATCATAGAATTGACGAAGGAAAAAAGGCGAGTGGTGCGTCGAGATATATGTGGAGACAAAAAAACGCTATCTATGGAGGCAAAGAAGGGAATGTATGAAAGTATAGTGGTACCAACACTCTTATATGGGTGTGAAGATTGGGTTGTAAATGCTGCAGCGAGGAGACATTTGGAGGCAATGGAGATGTCCTGTCTAAGGGCAATGTGTGGTGTAAATGTTATGCAGAAAATTCGGAGTGTGGAAATTAGGAGAAGGTGTGGAGTTAATAAAAGTATGGATGAAAGTAGAATGACATGGAAAGCATGTAAATCTGTACGGGAAGAAAGGCGGGGTAGGGGTCGTCCTCGAAAAGGTCGGAGGGAGGGGGGTAAAGGAGGTTTTGTGGGCGAGGGGCTTGGGCTTCCAGCAAGCCTGTGTGAGCGTGTTAGTGAATGGAGATGAATGGTATTTGGGACCTGACGAGCTGTTGGAGTGTGATTAGGGTAATATTTAGTGAAGGGATTCAGGGAAACCAGTTATTTTTATATTGCCGGACTTGAGTCCTGGAAATGGGAAGTACAATGCCTGCACTTTAAAGGAGGGGTTTGGGATATTGGCAGTTTGGAGGGATATGTTGTGTATCTTTATATGTGTATGCTTCTAAACTGTTGTATTCTGAGCACCTCTGCAAAAACAGTGATTAAATGTGAGTGAGGTGAAAGTGTTGAATGATGATGAGTATTTTCTTTTTGGGTCACCCTGCTTCGGTGGGAGACGGCCGACTCGTTAAAAAAAAAAAAATCCAACAATATATACAGCCACTCCTCACTTAGCGACGTACTTGTTTACAGACTACTTGGATTTATGACGGGCTCTGACTCGTGTGCATACCTAAATATTGTACATGTATATTAGAGCTGAGTTCCTCTATTCTGTTTATTACAATATACAGTACACTACTGTATAAACATTTAATAATATACCAGAAATGTTTATAAGTAAACATTTCTGGTATTTTTTTTTTTTGAACAAGTCGGCCGTCTCCCACCGAGGCAGGGTGACCCAAAAAAGAAAGAAAATCCCCAAAAAGAAAATACTTTCATCATCATTCAACACTTTCACCACACTCACACATTATCACTGTTTTTGCAGAGGTGCTCAGAATACAACAGTTTAGAAGTATATACATATAAAGATACACAATGTATCTCTCCAAACTGGTATATTTTTAAATATTTCTACAGTAGTGTATTGTATATTGAAAAACAAAATAGAGGAAATCATCTCTAATACACATTATTTAGGCATGTATGCTGGTCAGAGAGCCCGTCGTAAGTCCGAGGCGTCGGTAAACAAGTATGTCGCTAAGTGAGGAGAGGCTGTACTAACCTCTCATCGTACGTTAAGTCAAGAATATTTTACAGTAATGAGCGCACTGTGTATGAATGTTACTTTATTTTTTACCTCTAGTTCTATTGTTAATGTAATATATGATTGTGTAAATATATTATCAGGCATTTATATGAATTTAAAAGGGAAGAAAATGGCGATTCACTTTACGGTGATAGTTGGGAACCTAACCAGCTGTATAAGGGGGAGGGGGGGCCTTCTGTACAGTCAAATTATCTAATCTTTAGAACATGTTACTTGACCTGACCTTGGACATCTTCCCTTTCCTGATCTTGGCTGCCTCCTATATTTTAATTTGACCTCTCGCCTGTTGTCTTCTTCACTCAGCTTCATAATGGGTCAGGACTGACTAAAGTGTTAGAAATTTCCTTACTGAATTACAGACACAATGTAAATTGCTCCAGTCACAGCCTTGTGATATTCAAATAGAACGGAATAATCAAATTATGATTAAAGTTTTAATAAGCAATAACTGTGCAAGTAAATACCCTGACATATTATATATAAGGTCAGTAAAAAAGAAATTTGTCATAAATTCTAAATATATACAAAGCTAACAATCCAGCTGCTGTTCTCCTGGAAGCCAAGATTAGTGTTTGATCCGTAAACGGTCCAAGCAGATCTACGTTCACATGTGTAGTGCTACAAAAGTAGATTTTTTTTTTTACACATTTTCAAATATATCAAAAAAAAAAAAAAAAAAAAAAAAGTAGATCAAAGTTTTTTTTTACACATTTTCAAATGTAAAAAAAACAAAGATTACTTTTTTACATACTTTCAAATGTTGAAAAAACGTATACTGTATATACGTTTGGACTGTTTACGGGTTAAATTTTCAAGGTTTAAGTGTACACTATGGTAAACTTTACACATTATGACAAATACATTTTCAGAATCCTGATGCTCTTCAAACTTCTCTCTCCCTCTCCTCACAGATGCAGTCTTACATAAATAACCTTTTAATACAAATTCAGAGCAGCAACATACAGTACCAGCATGTCTAACAGCACTTGAGAAATGGTAAGTTATTAGTTTAATTTAAAGAAAAGGAGGGTAGCTCTAATTTCTAGGACCAAGAGCTCTTCAATAGGACAAAGGCACCCTACCAACCTTTGCAAGCTCTAATACAGGGGTAGGCAACTTCTAAAGCCATCAACTGGGAACTATACTTGTCTGATAATACAGTGGACCCCCCCAATGCGACCAATTATGCAAGTGTATTTATGTAGGTGCGTTTGTACATGTATGTTTGGGGGTCTGAAATGGACTAATCTAATTCACAATATTCCTTATGGGAACCAATTCATTCAGTACTGGCACCTGAACATACTTCTGGAATGAAATAATATCGTAAACCGGGGGTCCACTGTACTTGTGTAATATCGTGTTTTCAACAGAGGAAAATGAACAAAATTTTGCTCATTCAGGTGCGCATACGCGAATAAATAACCATTTTGGCGGGCCACATGAAAACCTTAGGCGGGCTGCAGTTTGCCCACCCCTGCTCTAATACATAACATGCCTGACAGAATGTACTACTAGGTCTCCCCTACTGAGGTAGGCGACCCAGAAAACCCTCATTTCTATGAAAAAGCAAAACCTAGACCCACATCAAATTTATTTGCATAGTCAAGAAAATACCCTACTTGCAGGCTGTCTAAGATATTTATTTCTTGTGTAGTATAATCTTTGGGTTATGGCTCACTAGTATTAAATTTAATCCTCATAAGTAATTTAAGGCATTTCTGTAATTTAATATATCATTCTCATGGAACATTGAAGGAGAATTGGCATTAGATGGATTATACACACAACTGCAATTCACCAATAGACCTGAATTCATTGCAAGTCAAAGTATTAGCTTATCAGCCTATAAATACAAATTTAATCCAAGGGGAAGTGGAAGAGAATTCCCCTGTAAGCCATGTGCATCTTAAGGGGTGACTAAAATGCCAGGAGTAAGGGGGTGCTAGTGATCTCTTCTCCTGTATAAGTTACTACATGTAAAAAATAAACTTTCGTTTTTCTTTTAAGGTCACCTTGTCTTGGTGGGATGCAGCTGGTGCATTAACCCTTTCAGTGTCGAGACCCCTGATCCTTAACTCATTGTCGAAAAAAAAAAAGTCTCTTATGAAATGATGGAGAATCTTTGCCAGATGGTAATGACACCAAAAGTACGAAATTTGATGGAAAATTTACAACAATACCCTCTCGCAAAGTTAGCAATCTCAGCGATATTTACGCATTGGCAATTTCGCCCACTTTGAGCCCTATTTTTGGCCAATTCCATTGTTTCAATCAACTAAAATCATAGGTATTTTGCTAGAACTTCATTTGTAATAATTGTACAAATAACGTCAACCCATTCATGACTGCACATTAGACTGGCCAGTTGGACACTTACTGGACAGTGACGTCGCATGTTTACTCTTAACACTGGCAGAAATCGAACATTTCCGCTACTTTGAGCTCAAATTCAAGGTACTTTTCATTGTGGAACCAATCAAAATCATCTTCATTTCTGTAAGATATCTTTCATTCTATCAAATGAGACCAAGAAAATGAGAATACAACCATAAATACCATACAAAAATACATGTTCACCGCAAAGTCACCGTTTTAAACCAAAAACATGGTCGGAGTTTGTTTTTTTTTTCTCATCATACACCGAGTGCTGCAGGATTTTTTTTTTAACTGCGCACACTGACCACGCAGACCCATTCTTTCATATGTAGGCCCACCAGCTTTCTTCCACCAGATCTTAAGGAGCCAGAATTTTGGTGTAGTAGTACAGAACCGACACTTGCTCTCAAGACATAATATTACGAAACTGACACTGAAAGGGTTAAAAAAAAAAAAGTACAATTTATTATGAAAAACATCCATTTTTTAATGAACTGGATGAAGCTGAGAGATAGGAAAGAGACCCCTAAAGAACAAATGGATAGGGTGAGGTGAAGGATGAGATAAGCTCACAAATAGTTAAAGAAAAAATACCTTGTAACAACCATTACCCTACACCTGAAACAAAAAATATCTGAAGCAGCACAACATAACAAAAGCTTTCAACATTCAGGAAACTAAGACACTCAAAACACTACCTCATTTGTGTAACCCCCTATCATGGGACAAAAGTACTGTGGCATGCAAAAAGTATATTACAATTTATTCAGCGTATGTCACACTCCCAGGTAGGCTGCCTCCTGACCAGCAAACCGGGTGCTAAGGGCTTAACAATAGGCAGAGTACCCGTCATTAATTCAGTACTCTGGTTCATTGACTAATCACAGGCAAGCCCGCCAAAGCTGACGCAATGTGGTTCACTTGTGGTAAGCATTGGCAGACTTGCCTACCTGCTGGTTGAGTACAATGCAGTCTCTGACTTCTGCTTGCCATCTGTCACCGTGGTGTACACTTCTTATTATTCCATCTGTATACAATGTACATACCTGTACATATATAGTGGGTGAAGGCAAATTATTTTTATTATTATTATCACACTGGCCGATTCCCACCAAGGCAGGGTGGCCCGAAAAAGAAAAACATTCACCATCATTCACTCCATCACTGTCTTGCCAGAAGGGTGCTTTACACTACAGTTTTTAAACTGCAACATTAACACCCCTCCTTCAGAGTGCAGGCACTGTACTTCCCATCTCCAGGACTCAAGTCCGGCCTGCCGGTTTCCCTGAACCCCTTCATAAATGTTACTTTGCTCACACTCCAACAGCACGTCAAGTATTAAAAACCATTTGTCTCCATTCACTCCTATAAAAACACGCTCATGCATACCTGCTGGAAGCCCAAAAGCCCCTCGCACACAAAACCTCCTTTACCCCCTCTCTCCAACCTTTCCTAGGCCGACCCCAAACCCCCCCTTTCCCCTTCCACTACAGACTGATACCCCTCTTGAAGTCATTCTGTTTCGCTCCATTCTCTCTACATGTCCGAACCACCTCAACAACCCTTCCTCACCTCTGGACAAACAGTTTTGGTAATCCCGCACCTCCTCCTAACTTCCAAACTACAAATTCTCTGCATTATATCACACCACACATTGCCCTCAGACATTGACATCCCACTGCCCCAGCCTTCTCCTCGCTGCAGCATTCATCACCCATGCTTCACACCCATATAAGAGCGTTGGTAAAAACTATACTCCATACATTCCCCTCTTGCCTCCAAGGACAAAGTTCTTTGTCTCCACAGACCCCCTAAGTGCACCCCTCGCTCTTTTTTTTTCCCCCATCAATTCTATGATTCACCTCATCTTTCATAGACCCATCCGCTGACATGTCCACTCCCAAATATCTGAATACATTCACCTCCTCCATACTCTCTCCCTTTCCAATCTGATATTCAATCTTTCATCACCTAATCTTTTGTTATCCTCATAACCTTACTCTTTCCTGTATTCACCTTTAATTTTCTTCTTTTGCACGCCCTACCAAATTCATCCACCAATCTCTGCAACTTCTCTTCAGAATCTCCCAAGAGCACAGTGTCATCACAAAAGAGCAGCTTTTGACAACTCCCACTTTGTGTGTGATTCTTTATCTTTTAACTCCACGCCTCTTTTCAAGACCCTCGCATTTACTTCTCTTACAACCCCATCTATAAATATATTAAACAACCACGGTGACATCACACATCCTTGTCTAAGGCCTACTTTACTGGGAAATAATTTCCCTCTTTCCTACATACTCTAACTTGAGCCTCACTATCCTCGTAAAAACTCTTCACTGCTTTCAGTAACCTACCTCCTACACCATACACTTGCAACATCTGCCACATTGCCCCCCTATCCACCCTGTCATACGCCTTTTCCAAATCCATAAATGCCACAAAGACCTCTTTAGCCTTATCTAAATACTGTTCACTTATATGTTTCACTGTAAACACCTGGTCCACACACCCCCTACCTTTCCTAAAGCCTCCTTGTTCATCTGCTATCCTATTCTCCGTCTTACTCTTAATTCTTTCAATAATAACTCTACCATACACTTTACCAGGTATACTCAGCAAAATATACATTATAGTCTACTGCTGAGTTTGTTTGCTCCATTTCCCATTATGACCAGGTCTCACAGGCCATTTATTACCTGTGTTCATAATAAGTACCTAGATGGAACTTTTGCCTAGTAAAATATAGTGAAACTCATAAATGTACAAAGGTCATCAAGACTGGTACTTTAGCTGAGGGAAACGTCCTATAAACAATGAAAGGTCTTCCCTTTACCTCACTGGAAGAGTGAAGACAAGGCAAAGATACGAGTACAAAATACTACAAAGAATGAAAAAATGTAGGCAAGTATAAGTTCTACCAGGAATTCAAGAAGACCATGAGGCCACGTTTGGAAATTGCATACCCAAATGTGGCAAAGAAATTTCAGGAAGAACTTCAACATAATAGTGAATGTGGAATGTGCTAAGCAATGATGGTGGAAGCCAACTCCATGCAAGCCCCCCCATGCAAATTAATAGATCCAAATAGTTAATTATATACATCGATTCAAAGTGGATATACTATCAGCTAAAAAGTTAGAAACCAACTATGAGTTAGAGGTTACAAGGAAGATCTAGGAGCTGGTGTATACCTCCTTATCCCTCACTCATAGACACTTTGTTGCCACAGGAAAAATACAAAGATTACTTTAATATGGAATTAGGATGGCAAGAATGTGTAGGCTGACATACCTGATACTATTTTAAACTATTAGATAGGCTTTCCATAATCAATTTGAAAGATGACCACCTGCAGTGCTACTATTCACTACTTAAATATAACAAATTTTTAAACTCACCATTCTCGAATCCATGACTGCCTTTGCCATAAATTTTCCAAGGAATCTGAATTTTGTTCTTAATTTGGTCATGTGCGCAGATTTCATGTTTCTGGGCACAGGTAACGGATAAAGGCCATTGCTGGCATTAACGTATTTCACTGCTTTTCCTGGATTATCTTCAGTTCTCTCTTCCACAGTAACTGTTTCACCACGCCACAGTTCCAAGTCTGCTTTCTGAAGCTCTTTAGAAACTAGAGCATAAAATTCTAAAGTAGGTCCTAAACCTGTCCCTACTTCATTATCATATTGAATTTCTAACATGGCTCTTGAAGAAGCCAAATCACTTATCACAGATTCAGCCTGTTTGAGAATATCGTCACGAGAGACAGTTCTCTTTCTCTTTTCAAGCCTTGGGGTAACTCTTTCACTACTATCAACAGAATTGAGCTCAGGAGAGGAGTCCATAAGTCGTTGTAAGGCTCGGTCACGGTCAAAAGAAACTGCATAGAAGAGCAGCTGGCGGGTCTCAAATGGAAACAGGAATGGACTGCAAAGAGAATCAAGGCATTAAATCTAACTACTAGGATTCAAAATGGTTATAACACAATCCAGAACATATTAAAAGGTGAAAAATAAGAAACGTACTTACCAAACATAAGCAATTTGAGGCAACCATGGTGGAACATTCCCAGTCATTATAACTAAAGGATCCTGCAATTGTCTATTTGCTTTAGCCGTTAGTTTGAGATTTATGAATTCAGCAGTAGGAAGAGGGGACGGGTAACACGCTGGGGGATAAAGGGAACCATATTGTCTGTTCAAGGCATGGAGAACCCGCAGTAGTGCCAGCACTTCGATACTTGGGTCACTTACAGTTACACTAGCCGGAAGAGTAAGAGTCAGGTACTGGTCTAGAACACTATTATTCCCTCCCACTATACTTCCATCTGCAAAAAAGGAAAGAGTAACACATTAATAAACAAGAACCACGGAATATCCCTAAACAGTAGGTCCCCGACTTATGATGATCCTCACTTAAAACATTGGCATCATTTTGAAACCAATTATTTACAAACAGACAACCTTCTGAATGGTGATACTACTTTCAGCCATGGAAGTACCACTTACAATGGAGCAGACAGCATCAACATTCACTAAATGAATTCTTGTTCTATGTTCATTTAAGGAATCTGTAGGCAGCTCACATTTACTTCCCAAAAATGTGTCAAAAATTGTTGACCTTGTCATTATGACTGCCTTGAACAGTGGCTGGGTGAGTGGTTATATTCACTGTACACAGCTAGCCTGATGCAGCAACTAACAACACGTACAACCCTGGCACCTGTATGACATTCACCACTATCTTCTAGCAGCTATTACCTCTTACCATGAGTAACTGGATAGTGGAGACTTGAAAGCTTATAGTGTTAGATTATGTACAATGAGAGGCAGTCATTTTGCTGCTGGCCTTGTGTTACCAGAGGCAATGTGAGGGAGACAGTATTTCCAGTGTTGATGCTTATGGAATACTTCATCAGCTGCAGTGTGTAAGGAAGACAGTCCTATTAATACTGGCTTTGTAGTGTTGTCAGAAGCAATATGGGAATAAGGGAAGTACTGTATTCTGACCTACACTGTAGTGACAGCAGAAAAGGCAATGTGAGAAAGAGGGAATAAGACAGAGGTAACAAGGCAAGGTAATAAGAGAGGGGCTGGTTTGGACGAAAGGATAAAGAAAACCTCATCTAAGTATTACACATTGTTATTAATTTCATTGTTAAAAAGCAAATTACTGAATACTATATTATTGCCGAGGAATGCACCTCTCCGATTATTTCGCAGGTGTTCGGGGGAAGATGGTTTAGAGTTCCAGCCACTAGTAATGAAAGATTTTCAGGAACACGTTAAACTAAGTGGGGGACCTACTGTACTATAAAGATCAAAAGCACTTTATTATATTCAAAGGGAAGTGTTAAACCTGTGTCACATAGTGCCTAAGAAATATGAAGAAACCAAGACTGATATTTTTTTTTTATTAACACACTGGCCGATTCCCACCAAGGCAGGGTGGCCCGAAAAAGAAAAACTTTCATCATCATTCACTCCATCACTGTCTTGCCAGAAGGGTGCTTTACACTACAGTTTTTAAACTGCAACATTAACACCCCTCCTTCAGAGTGCAGGCACTGTACTTCCCATCTCCAGGACTCAAGTCCGGCCTGCCGGAAGGGTAACAAATTCCTTGGACCACAAGCCCATCATCAGTAACCAATAGTTACTGCTGCAGGAACTAATCACAGAACCACTGATAAACATGTACAGTTGAAATGATAAACTTATAATGAAGCAAAGTGTATACTTGTGATAGGATACAACTTTCTACAGTAACTTACTGCATCTTTTGAAGAAAAAATACTGCATGCAGTATGCTTTGACATTTCAATTTTTTTTTCTACTGCTGAACACACGTTACTTGGTTTATAGCCTAAATACTATATACAGTGGATGGTAAAAAATTATACTGATAATCAATACCCTACTCTTGCTTTTGTTAAAGTATGAACATATACAGTGGACCCTCGACCAACGATGGCATCGTCTAACGTTAAATCCGACTAGCGATACATTTTAACGCAAAAATTTTAACTCGACTAGCGCTAAAAAACTTGACCAACACGATTCGTTCCATTCGAGACGCGTCCACTTGTGGCCAGTGTTTACAAGCCAGCCAGCCACTGCGGTCCCATCCAAACATACAATCGGAACATTTCATATCACAGCATTTTTAGTGATTGCACCTGCAAAATAAGTCACCATGGGCCCCAAGAAAGCTTCTAGTGCCAACCCTACAGCAAAAAGAGTGAGAATTACTATGGATATGAAGAAAGAGATTACTGCTAAGTATGAAAGTGGAGTGCGTGTCTCCGAGCTGGCCAGGTTGTACATAAAACCCCAATCAACCATCGCTACTATTGTGGCCAAGAAAACGGCAATCAAGGAAGCTGTTCTTGCCAAAGGTGCAACTATGTTTTTGAAACTGAGATCGCAAGTGACAGAAGATGTTGAGAGACTGTTACTGGTGTGGATAAACAAAAAACAGATAGCAGGAGACAGCATCTCTCAAGCGATCATATGTGAAAAGGCTAGGAAGTTGCATGATGATTTAATTAGAAAAATGCCTGCAACTAGTGGCGATGCGAGTGAATTTAAGGCCAGCAAAGGTTGGTTTGAGAGATTTAAGAATCGTAGTGGCATACACAGTGTGATAAGGGGCATGGTGTAGGCTGCCAGTTCGGACGCACCAAAAAGCAGCTGAAAAATATGTGAGGAATTAAGGAGTACATTAAACAGTGAAGAACTGGAACCTGAAACAGTGTTAATTGTACCACTGGACAATGTTGTGAAACACTTTAGGATGTGCATAAAGGAACGGAGAGGTACAGGCCTCTATGGAAAGATATGTTGTGCGACAGACGGTCCAGTGATCAAGCTGGTCCTAAGTGGCATTAAGAAGAAGGGAAGTAACCCGGAAAAAGACCTTAACACTCAAGGTCCTAATGGAAGGGATTCCCCTTCTAAAACACTAAACATCCCACTCTCCGCCTCCCATCCCATCAATCATCACCAGATCTTCAATAAGGTAAGTGTCATGTAACTGTACATGTTTTTTCCAGTTTGTGTGTATTAAAATTAATATTTCATGTGGTAAAATTTTTTTTTTTTCAATACTTTTGGGAGTCTTGCACGGATTAATTTGATTTCCATTATTTCTTAGGAGTCTGTGGAGACAAAGAACTTTGTCCTTGGAGGCAAAGAGGGGAATGTATGAGAGTATAGTTTTACCAACGCTCTTATATGGGTGTGAAGCGTGGGTGATGAATGTTGCAGCGAGGAGAAGGCTGGAGGCAGTGGAGATGTCATGTCTGAGGGCAATGTGTGGTGTGAATATAATGCAGAGAATTCGTAGTTTGGAAGTTAGGAGGAGGTGCGGGATTACCAAAACTGTTGTCCAGAGGGCTGAGGAAGGGTTGTTGAGGTGGTTCGGACATGTAGAGAGAATGGAGCGAACAGAATGACTTCAAGAGTGTATCAGTCTGTAGTGGAAGAAGGCGGGGTAGGGGTCGGCCTAGGAAGGGTTGGAGGGAGGGGGTAAAGGGGTTTTGTGTGCGAGGGGCTTGGACTTCCAGCAGGCATGCGTGAGCGTGTTTGATAGGAGTGAATGGAGACAAATGGTTTTTAATACTTGACGTGCTGTTGGAGTGTGAGCAAAGTAACATTTATGAAGGGATTCAGGGAAACCGGCAGGCCGGACTTGAGTCCTGGAGATGGGAAGTACAGTGCCTGCACTCTGAAGGAGGGGTGTTAATGTTGCAGTTTAAAAACTGTAGTGTAAAGCACCCTTCTGGCAAGACAGTGATGGAGTGAATGATGGTGAAAGTTTTTCTTTTTCGGGCCACCCTGCCTTGGTGGGAATCGGCCGGTGTGATAATAATAATAAAATATTTCTTATGGGGAAAATTAACTCGACTAACGATAATTTCGATTAACGATGAGCTCTCAGGAACAGATTAATATCGTTGGTCGAGGGTCCACTGTACTGTGATAGACTTGCAAGCCAAAGAAAAAAATTTATAATGTCAAAGCTATTTAAAAAATTCACATAGCTTCGACTTAATTTGTCTGAGCATATATCATCTCCGGTTCTGCATATATTGTTACATAATATTGCACATAAGAATATGTGCAACTAGAACAGTTAAGCGAGTTCAGAGTTGAATGACAAAACACCAACACATCTGTTCAAGTCATAATTGCTTTCAAGTCTAACAAACAGGAAACACTACATTAATTTTTTCCTATATTGAAAGATGTATATCATATAGTCGGACTTGAGTCCTGGAAATGGGAAGTACAATGCCTGCACTTTAAAGGAGGGGTTTGGGATATTGGCAGTTTGGAAGGATATGTTGTGTATCTTTATATGTGTATGCTTCTAAACTGTTGTATTCTGAGCACCTCTGCAAAAACAGTGATAATGTGCGAGTGTGGTGAAAGTGTTGAATGATGATGAAAGTATTTTCTTTTTGGGGATTTTCTTTCTTTTTTTTGGGTCACCCTGCCTCGGTGGGAGACGGCCGACTTGTTGAAAAAAAAAAAAAAAAAAGTATATCAATAGTAAATAATACTAACAAAATGAAGAATTAGACAAGCAACATCTGGGTATCTGTATTTGCAGAAGTTTCCCCATCCAGTGACAAAACATCTACTAAATACAGTGGACCCTCGAATTTAGTCGTGCCTTTTCTGTATGCAAAACTATTTTTATCTATAAAATGTATGTTTTGTTAATATTTCCCACAGGAAATAATGTAAATCCAATTAAACCATTCCAGACACCCAAAAATATTAACAAAAAATACATTTTATAGATAATAAAAATAGTTTTGCATACAGAAACGGCATGACTAAATTCGAGGGTCCACTGTACACCTAGATGTTTCACACATCTAATTTTTCATGTAGACTGCACGACTTTTGGCAAGGTATACCGTTTAAGTTATGGCTAAGATTAGACCTTACCTCCAACAAGAGTATCTGCTTTCTTCTTTGGACTGGTTTTTGAGCCTCCTGCTTTTCCTTTTCTACCTCCAGAACTTCGACTTTGTTCCTCCTCCTGCACAGGTCTGCAAAGTAGTATAAAATCTTTAAGACTTACAAATTATTTGTTTTAGTCAATGATTTGAAAAAGTTTAGAATCTGATACCTACTAAACACTAAGCAAGTTGAAGTGGCTAACGCGACGGGCTGGAGTTTTGAGACTATGACCGCGGGTTCAATCCCGGCCGGGGGTATGGTTTGATAATGCCTAAATTTACAATAGACCAACTTTATGTAAAATTAAATTAAAATACCTTATCTTCCTATTTACTAAATCTAACTAGCACCAAACTCTTTCAACACTAATAACTAAATATTTAAAATTTGCTTTCATGGGAGCTCCCAGATCTTGATAAATAAGAATTTTGGTGGTGGCTGCCACAACCTGGCCAGTACGACTATATAGTGTAGTAGGTTGGTAGACAGCAACCACCCAGGGAGGTACTATCGTCCTGCCAACTGAGTAAATCGAAAGCCTGTAATTGTTTTACATGATGGTAGGATTGTTGGTGTCTTTTCTGTCTCATAAACATGCAAGATTTCAGGTACGTCTTGCTACTTCTACTTACACTTAGGTCACATTACACATACATGTACACATTTATGTATACACACACGAGATGTCTTTTGATTTTATCTTACTAGTTCTTGTTCTTATTGCTTTTTCCTTTTATATTCATGGGGAAGTGGATTAAGAATCTTTCCTCCGTAAGCCATGCGTGTTGTAAAAGTCAACTAAAATGCTGGGAACAATGGGCTATTGACCCTTTCCGGTATAGCCTACTAAAAAGAAAATTTACCAGTTATATATACAATATATGCCAGAGAATTTCAGAAGCTGGTTTGGATATTATATGGATAAATAGATAAGAGCCTAGGTAGTAGGTTGGTAAACAGCAACTGCCCAGGAAGGTACTACCGTCCTGCCAAGTGAGTGTAAAACGAAAGCCTGTAATTGTTTTACATGATGGTAGGATTGCTGGTGTCCATTTATTTCTGTCTCAAACATGCAAGATTTCAGGTACGTCTTGCTACTTCTGCTTACACTTAGGGCACACTACACATACATGTACAAGCATATATATACACACTCCTCTGGGTTTTCTTCTATTTTCTTTCTAGTTCTTGTTGTTGTTTATTTCCTCTTATCTCCATGGGGAAGTGGAACAGAATTCTTCCTCCGTAAGCCATGCGTGTTGTAAGAGGCGACTAAAATGCTGGGAGCAAGGGGCTAGTTTACCTGGAGTTTACCTGGAGAGAGTTCCGGGGGTCAACGCCCCCGCGGCCGGGCTGTGACCAGGCCTCCTTCTCCCCTTCTCCCGTATAAATTACTAAATTTAAGAGAGAAACTTTCGTTTTTCTTTTTGGGCCACCCTGCCTTGGTAGGATACGGCCGCTTTGTTGAAAAAAAGAAGAAATAGATAAGAGCCTAGGTAGTAGGTTGGTAGACAGCAACCGCCCAGAGAGGTCATGCCGTCCTGCCAAGCGAGTGTAAAACGAAAGCCTGTAATTGTTTTACATGATGGTAGGATTGCTGGTGTCCATTTTTGTCTCAAACATGTAAGATTTCAGGTACGTCTTGCTACTACTTCTTACACTCAGGTCACACTACACATACATGTACAAGCATATATACATTATATATATGGTGGGATACGGCTGGTTTGTTGAAAAAAAAAAAAAGATAAGAGGGATGGAGGGGGTGGGAGAGCAGCAAGGTGGTGGTGGTGGTGGTGGTGAGGAAACAGAACAAATACCTCCTGACATAGGTCTTCATTAGGTGACTAAGTGGTTATGCTTCAACTCACCTACTGAACCTGGGTTTTCACTCACAATGGCTCTGAACAATTACCTAGTGAATGAACTACTAAAACTGGCTGTATGTCTATAAGAATTACTCACGTGAAGAGGTCAACCAATCTATCAAGTTTCAAACATTAAAATGTTGAATGTTTCAGTTGCCCATACTTTTTTATTAAAATGTAATGAAAATGCAATCATTTTTTTTTTTTAACAAGTTGGCCGTCTCCCACCGAGGCAGGGTGACCCAAAAAGAAAGAAAATCTCCAAAAAGAAAATACTTTCATCATCATTCAACACTTTCACCTCACTCACACAATCGTTGTTTTTGCAGAGGTGCCCAGAACACAACAGTTTAGAAGCATATACGTATATACACAACATATCCCTCCAAACTGCTAATATCCCGAAACCCCTCCTTTAGAGTGCAGGCATTGTACTTCCCATTTCCAGGACTCTAAGTCCGGCTATATAAAAATAACCGGTTTCCCTGAATCCCTTCACTAAATATTACCCTGCTCACACTCCAACAGATCGTCAGGTCCCAAATACCATTCGTCTCCATTCACTCCTATTGAACATGCTCATGCATGCCTTCTGTAAGTCCAAGCCCCTCGCCCACAAAACCTCCCTCATCCCTTCCTTCCAACCTTTTCGAGAATGACCCCTACCTCGCCTTCCTTCCCCTACAGGTTTAAATGCTCTCCATGTCATTCTACTTTGATCCATTCTCTCTAAATGACCAAACCACCTCAACAACCCCTCTTTAGCCCTCTGACTAATACTTTTATTAACTCCACACCTTCTCCTAATTTCCACACTACGAATTTTCTGCATAATATTTACACCACACATTGCCCTTAGACAGGACATCTCCACTGCCTCCAACTGCCTCCTCACTGCTGCATTCACAACCCAAGCAATGCAATCATACCTGTAGTATATAGTATGCGTTTGTAGCCATATAGCAGAGTGAGAAATCGGAGTCTCGGTATCTGTGTCTGCTTCGGAGGCGCTGGCATCAGAGGGTGACGAAAACTGTCTGATTGCTTGGTAGACAGTCATGTTGTATGGCAAGACATGATCACTGATGACAAATTGGAGTTTGTGACTTGAAGAACTCTGGTTAACTGATACAGCAGCCTATTAGAAGTTCATAAAATTTTAGACAGATTGGCAATTACTATGATTAATACAAAAATGAAGAAATAATTTACATTTAACTGATGCTTGGTCCAGGACCAGACCACAAGCCAATCACTGCTGAAATCTTTAACAGGTAGAAAGATCCATAAACAACTCTGATATCCTCCTTTAAGCATCTACCTAACCTTCCCATACAAAACATTAACAGTTCTCCTGACAATGTATCTGTAATCTCCGTTTCACATATGGAAAAATAAAGGCAGTATAATATGATCCTTTACCGACTACATTTTGCCCACACAGTGAGCTTTATCAAGTCACAAACAGATTTGTTTTGTGACTTGAAAGTCGACTGTGTGAGCAAAATGTAGTCAATAAAGGATCACATTATACTACATTTGTGTTTATTTTTCCATCGTGTTGGTATTTTGTACCTTTTATCTCCATTTCACATGTGTACATGCACTCCTTCATTAAACTCCATATAATAGTTCCTAAGGAACCTAATGTTAAAGTTTCCCCTCAAACAAGAAAAATCAAGTTTACACACTGAACATAGGCATTAATTAGATTTTCAGACTTGGATAGACCCTCCTAATTCAGCCTAATGACCCTCCTAATTCAGTTTATGATGCACATGTAATAATTCTGTATTCATTTCAAGCATTAGGCAAAATTTCTATATGCTGGGATTGAAACTCAAGTCTATACATACATTTTCACGCACTTTCAGTTTGTTTTCTCGGGGATTTCCATTTCTGAAAGTACTATTAAGCTTACTTTTCTTCATAAAATATGCCTAAGCAAGAATTTTCCAATATTAAATTTTTCAACAAGATAAAAATTGAAAATTTTCACTTGCAATCGATTAAAAAATCTTTTTACACTTACCAAAGTATCATCTATATCTTCATCTGAATTGTCATCATCAGAGTTATCATCATCTTCATCCCTGAGTCGACCATAACCTCTGATAACTAGGTAACGTTCAATGGCCTGCACCAAAGCCAAGGGATCAACCTTAACTGGTCCTCCACGCCACTGTCTTAATCTTGTGCAGTCTGGGTGACGTTGCAAGTTGCACTGATGACAAAAATTTAAATTTTCTTAAGTAAGGTATAGAGAATATATTTCTAATCTGCACAAGCAATCAACCCTACCAGTGGATTCAACTCCCCATCCATCCTCACTTAAGTCTACCACACCCAGCCTCAACTCCTACACAAACCCACTAATGAAATAAACATTTGGGTGATTATTAACATAAAAATTACAAACTACTTATGTGTGCAGAAGCTAAAAGCCTGTCAAGTGTGTTGTAAACCACTGAACAATGACGTCTTTGCAACCGGAGGGTTTTAATCATCTTCTCCACCATTCTAACATTTCAATTAAGTCAAATGAACAAGCAATAACTCACGAAATTGTAAAAACACAATTGCAAACAAATCGCAAGACAGACGAGGTTTGAAACTTGGCAGGAACTCGCTTGTCATGGGGTCCAGCCTCAACTGTTCCCCTCTGGTGGCCTGGTGGTTAACGCTCTCGCTTCACACGGTGAGGGCCTGGGTTCGATTCCCAGCCAGAGTAGAAACATTGGGCGTGTTTCTTTCCACCTGTTGTCTATGTTCCCCATCAGTAAAATGGGTACCCGGGTTTAGTGACTGGTGTGGGTGCCCGGGACACTGACCTAAGAGGGGTCACAGACCGGGGGGGCGGGGGCGTTGACCCCCGGAACTCTCTCCAGGTAAACTCCAGGTATATTACATGTGCATTTGCATGCATATACAGTGGAACCTCAGCAGTCTAACTTGATTGGTTCCAGAAGGCTATTCGAGTGTCGATCTGCTCGAATACAGAACGAATTTTTCCCAACTAACTTTTTTTTTGGTTGGCTGTTTCACAAAAACCCTCTGAGGCACCATGGTGACTTATTTATACAACATAATAGCAAAAAATGCTAAGAAACACTAAATAATTTACAGCTAAGTTCCGGTAGGTCGTATTTGTTTGGACGACTGCCGAGCAAACGGTTACTACCCAGTGATTTATTCCAAAGCGTTAAATATGAGGTTCCACCGTGTTTCCCAAATTTTTACTCTTGCTTTTTTCTGCATTTTTAACCACTTTTTCCAAAGTACTGGTCAGAAGGGTTTCCCCCTGTAAGGTGTTATCATGAAGAAACTGCCAGGAACTTTTTGCTAAATACCTGAAAAAGAAAAACTTCCACAATTAT